AACCTGAAAATACTGAAAACAAGGACGAAGCAAAACCTGAAAACACTGAAAACAAGGATGAAGCAAAACCTGAAAATACTGATTCTAATAATGAAAGCAAGGATGAAAACAACGACACTGAAGCTAAAGTTGAAAACAACGGTGAAAATAAAAAGGAAAAAAGATTGGATGCTTTAAATAATAAAGAATACTGTATCGAAGATACGGACTTACCTTATAAACATGACGACGGTAACAAATTACATCCAGGCTTTAACGTTTTCAAACCAGTTGGTAAAACGAATAACGAAAAAGGTTCTTTGGCTGGTAAATCTTACCTTTACTCATTTGCTCCTCCGCCTTCCACAATCATTTTTTTGACAAAAGATGGTTCTTATAACATAACCACAAAAAATAAGAAATCTAAATTATTAAATAACGGAATAGTGGAAAGTTATATTCATGATACCAAAAGAACTAAAATCAACTCATTAGAAGTTTTTGAGAACTTGCAAAAGAATGTCCCTGCTGATAAGAAAAACGTCATGAATGATTATGAAATTACCATTCCTGAACAAAATTTCGAGGTGAATTTTAATGATGTAATTAAAGATTTGGAAACAAAAATAAGATCGGGTAAAAAATTATCAAAAAATCATTTATCCTATTTAAACTCTTTAAAATATTCAATTGATCGAGTTAATAACGGTGGACCACCAAAATATTTTTCTGAAGCTAGATTATTAGACACTTTACTAGGTGATCACTATGATTGGAGATTTTTCAATGGTTTAATGTATGGAACTTACGAACAAACCTTAACTTTGCATCGTTTGGTAAGAACCTTTTTATCATTTTGTCGTAAAAATGGTATAACAACTTGGGTTGCTCATGGTTCCTTATTATCTTGGTACTGGAATGGGATTGCATTTCCTTGGGATAACGACATCGATGTTCAAGTTCCACTCGCTGATTTACATAAATTATCAATGAATTTCAATCAAAGTTTAATCGTCGAAGATTTTCAAGATGGTTTTGGTCGTTACTTCTTGGATTGTGGTAGTTTCATCACATTGAGAGAACGTGGTAACGGTAATAATAATATTGATGCAAGATTCATTGACGTTGATACCGGTTTATACATTGATATAACTGGTTTGGCAATTTCAAATTCCAATGCTCCAGATCGTTATCAATATTCTCCAAATCATCAAAAAGATGAACATGATCACGTCAAAAATAATCGTGCTTTAAAAGTTTATAACTGTAGAAATAATCATTTTTCAAGTTTGAATGAATTATCTCCAATGGTCAAAACTTTTATTGAAGGTGAAATGGGTTATATTCCTAAAAGATATACTGATATTTTAGCAGTTGAATATCCAAAAGGTTTGTTAACAAAAACATTTAGTGGCCATATTTTTGTTCCCCAACTTAGATTGTGGATAAGTGAAAGAGATTTATATTATTTCTTAAACGATAAATCAAAATGGTTAAGATATAATAATTATAATGAAGAATATTCACAAGCCATTTCAAATGAGGATTCCGATAATGATGTAAATTTCGAGGATCTGAATTATGAATTAACTAACGATCAAAAGGATAAACTAAAATCTGAAGCCGAAAAAAATCAAGCGAAAAACTTAAAAGATGACGACTTATTAACAATTTGGAAATTTAGTCATGAAGAATTGTTAGAATTATTAAGTAAAGATGAATTACTAATGAGTTATTTCAGTACCAGAGCAATGACATCTTTACATGAATCAGAAATTCAAAATCTTCTATTTGGGAAATCCTCAAAGCCATTAATCGAAAAAGCCCCTGACTTCAAGCCATTGTTATATGATCCATTCCTTTTTAAAGTCAAAAGTGATTACATTGATTATGACGATGAGGTTGATAACTATTTGAGTTTATTGGAAGCTTATCAATATAACGAACAGAAAAATAAAGAAAACTTATTAAAAGCTTCTGGTAGAATCATCAACCCTGACGAGGTTGAAAATTATGATCAACTAGTAAATGATGATAAAGATCACTCTGGCGCTGGTACTATTAAGGTCGAACAATCATCTTAGCATTTCACAACTCTTTGATTTTGCATTTTCTTTTTGGTTTATCCTGTAAAAATTACTTTCCTTACTGCATTTGATAATGTTTAAACTTGCATTTATTTCATATTTTTTAATGTCATTTCATTTCTTGATTTTGTTTTAAAGTTCATCTAAATTAATGATTTGAAAAAAATTATTCATTAATTTTTAGTTAACCAAACATCTTTGTCACTGGTTTTTGACGTTTTTATATACTTTTCTGTTTAATAATTATAGCTTATTTTGATACATTAAAAATTTTATTTGTAATTTGACATCACTGTCAAAAAGCTTCGAATCTGCAGGCTTGCACCCAAATTTATTGACAGCAGACTTTCATTGCTTAACACTCAATACAGTTAAACATGCGATAATTTACGGTTTTTGCCCGTCTAATTACTAGAGCATCGCCTTTTCATTATATTTTCTACTATTTATAGTATAAGAAGATTTAAGGCTAAATTTAATCTAATGTTTTAACATCGAAGTTGCACAAGATTTTAAGTATTTCTTTCATCTTATACGATTAGTTATTAGCATTGGAATATTGTTGGATTGAATCAACAACACTTTTTTCGAGACCAATAAACTCAGTTTTTAAAATGTTCAATGTTTCTTTGGTATCCATGATGCAACCGTCTTGACCAGACTTTGTTCCTGGTTTACCAACTGGAACTTCAGAAAATTGATCGAAATTGGAATGTATTATATCTAACAATTCCTGTGACGAAAACTCTTTGGCAGCTATCAAAACTAATCTTTTTTCTTTGGCATCATCACTTTCAAATGCTACAATATGAGCATTTGAAACGTCTCTGACATCGATGAAAGTAGCTCTTTGATTAGGGATATCTTCTTCCTTCCTCAACCTTAACAACCCGGTGATAACCTCTGCGGAGGTTCCTAAAGTACCTTTGGCATCTTCATCGAAAGCTTGAGGTCCAAATACGTAGGATGGATTGACAGTACTTAAAATAAAATTTGGTTTTTCAGTTTTAACAAAGTCCCAAGCAGCTTTTTCAGCAAAAGTTTTAGAACCAAAGTATCCATCGAATGGATTAGAAATGGCTTTTTCCCAATTGATCTCATTCCATGAGTTTTCATTTACAACGTGGTTTGGATTTGACAATTGTTCGAAGGATGCCATGGCAGCAACAGATGAAGTGATTACAACTCTCTCGATTTGGGGACCGTACTTTTTGATGGCATTCAAAGCATTATGGGTACCTTCAATAGCAGGTTTCAAGAGATCGTTTTCAACATTATCAGTATAGAAATGAAATGGAGATGCAGTATGTAAGAAAACAGTAATCTCTGGGTGGTTTTTCAAACATTGATCAAAGGCACCGGGAACAGAAATATCAGCAACCACTTCATAACAAAATTTATCAGAATTTAATTGCTCAGCTAAATGATCCCCCTTTTCACTTGATCTAACTGATCCAACAACGTTATAATTTTTTTTAATAAGGTCTTTCACAACATGCTTGGCGATGAATCCAGTAGCTCCAGAAACAAAAACTGTAGTTGAGGCAGTCATAATTAGGAAATTTATCTATTGATTAGTTTAAGGTGAATAAGTTGATCTGAAGCTAGAATTCATTACGTCTTGTTGGCTATTTAAGTCGTACTAGAATTCTCAATTGCAACGTCGGTCCAATTGGGTCCAATTGGCTATATGATGAATCGGTAAGCATAGACAAAATTAGACCGATTGAGCGGTTTTCTTGTTGTCCGACTATTGGAATAAGTGATGTTTTATCAATGTTGCATTATGTGTCACCATTGCATTATTTTAACTTTAGGCTGACTGCATCGCTTGAAGCTGACTTCGCATTGCTATAAGATGACTATGCATCGCTTCAACTTTACCATATATCTGAAATGTTTATTTGTTGAGAGATTTGTGTTCTTTTCTGGTCAATTTAAAAGATCTCCGAACATGGCCTAAAGACAAAACCTGTCAAATTACATTGTATTTTTGTGGTTGATGATTAGCACTATTGTTACTAAAGAGCCTTGATTAATTCACTTGCACACAGCTGCAGTATACTGACTCTTTTCTAAAGAAAACTTGACCATCAAATGTAGCATTATATAAGTGCTACCGATTAGTTTTATTCAAAAAGTGCAATTTTGCAATTTGTGAAGAAAAAAATTTTTTTGCGGCATTATTCTTGATCATATAAGAATTAGTAATGGATACATTATGGAATAAGAGACCGTAGTAAAGACATATTTGAAAATCATGACTATTTCCGATTTGATCACTTAGATTGAAAGATGCTTTCATTGAGAAATAGAAGTGTCTGTGGATATACTATCACCAAAGTTGGATTATAGAACAGGATTTTTTCATTAGAAAGTAAAGACTGTCTTCGACCTGGTGCTGTTGAATATTTTACGAACATTATCAAAATAAAAAGAAACTGTATGAAACGGAGAGTGAACTTAGGCAGGGTGTATTTCTGTTGCTGAAAAAGCTCAACTTGGAATCGTATTAATCACCAGGAATTATTTGACAAATAGGAAAACCACTTGAGCTCTAAGAATGGGTATTTCTAAGTAGGAGTTGGGGTACCAAAAAAGCCAGTATCGTAGATAATACATTCAAAATACTAGCGAAAGTTCTGTAAAAATAGTGGATTGCCTTGCTGTTTTCTCAGCTTGAATAAAATACCACTAACATTTGGATATTCAAAGCTAACAACAAGTGAGCTTTAATATCGCCTTGGTTAATTCCCTGGCTCTTCAAACGTAAGCCTTTTTTTTTTTTTTCACGTATATTTTTATATATTTGATTTTTTTTTATATTTGATTTTTTTTTTTTTTTTTTTTTTCACATATATTTTTATATATTTGATCTAAATATTAACTATATAGAGATAAAGAGAGTAGATAGAAATATATAAAAGGGGGCGTATAGTGGAAAATTTGAAAAAACCACTTTAGTTGATTAAGAAAAGGATGGAATTAATTTATCGAGTTTAGAATTTATATGATGATAAGAAAAAAGATACCTTTGTTTTAATGAGCCGACGAGTGAGGACCTCAGAAGAGCCGATGAAGATCGTCGAAAATCAATAAAACATTTAACTAAGTAATTTTTTTTTTTTTTGACATATAAGAATATATATTTAATAGCTATTTACTAATATATACCTAGAGTGGGAAAGACTATGTTTAGTCAAGAAAACCCATGTTGAATTAAGTGATGTGATAGAAATGGTTGTGGCTGGTTTTTTAAAAACACCAATTTTCGACATCCTCAAACATCCGTACGTATAGTAAACCAAAATTTTCAGTGAAATGTCTACGGCCATATCCAGCATAAAGCATGATTACCCGTCCGATCAATAATTATTAAGCTGCTGAGAGCGATGCTGAGTACGTTAGTGGGAGACCATAATGGAAACCATCGTGCTGTAGACTCTTCTTTTTTTGCAATTTTTTTCAGTAATGTTTACTACTGGATTAACTTTGCAATTACTACATTATTAAATTGTAACAGACAAAAGCTCAATTTTAAAACATTTTACTTACTTTGATAAAATTTTAGAAACTTCTTCACCTTTTTCAAATCTTTGGCGAACTTCCAAAGAATCTCTGTTGAGAAAGTCTTCGAGGTTCTTTGAATAAGGAGCCTTGGTGATATTAGGCGGATTGGTCTTGTTGACCACATCGAAATAATTTTCATAAATATTACCGTCGTAGTTCCCAATAGCTGAATGGAGTAAATTATCAGGTTGTTGAAAAGAGTCAGTTAATGCAACGACATAAGGACGTAATTTAGAGCAGGTATTACCAATTAAACGAGAAGTAATTAATAATTTTAATTTTGGTGCTAAGATGTTAAAAGCAATAAATTGACCGGCAAAATCATTGAAGATACTCGAATAACAATAAAGGTGAACTAAATTTTGTAAATGTTGATTTAATTTTTCATCTTTGTTAGAATTTAATCTTTGAATGAAAGTTTCCAAAAGATAATGATGACATCTAAGTTTAGAAAGAATAACTCTTTCATGACTAATTGAATCCCAATCAGAATTATTTGTTTTCAAAGCTTCTAAACAATGGATGGAAATACGAGAAATCAATGATTCAAGAGATTTCAATATGATTACCGGATCATTCAATTCATCTTCTTTTCCAAGAATGATTTCATTATTCGAATTACTAACTGAATTATTAAGAAATTTCAAAGAACCATCAATTTTTTTATTTTTATTCAAAATGTCATTGACATTTTTAATAATTGATTTACCGGCAGACATTGCCAAAACATTATTATCACCCTCCCAAGTGCATTGGACAACCCAATCATCATAACTTTTACCAAACCCGTTATAACTTGAATAACCATGACCACCACAAGATTGTCTTGTTTCGGCAATGCAGTCAGCAGCCAACCAAGTTAATGTTGATTTCAAAGAACCAGAGTCGATGAATAACGACTTTGTTTCATTAAGACCTTGTTTAATTGCATCCATATCTTTTGATTCAATAGCATGGTCTAAATCTTCCAAAACTTTTGAATGTTGGTTTTCTAATCTATCAGTGCCTAGAGCCAGAGCATAGGTTAAAGCCAAATAAGGCAACAATCTTTTCTGGTGTAAGTTATAATCAATTAATTGACATTCAGTTAAATCTTTTAAATTCTTTTTAAATTGTAAACGCCCAACCGAATAACGTAAAGCAATTGTAATGAATCTAGCACATATTCTATAAGAATCAGTAGCCATTGCGACTCTACCTCCTAATAAACTAATATAACTCAATTGTTCTAAAGGAGGTAATGAAACCTTACCATCACGATCAACTTTACAGAATTTTTGCAACATGAAAAATCTTGGAATACGTACTTTTGAAAATTGAATCCAGCCATTATCGACCCCTTCACGTCCCATTTTAGCACCAATATCACCAATTGATACTCCTGGTAATAACTCATGATTTGAATCTCTCAAAGGAACAATAAATGTTTTTACCCCATAATCTTTACCTTTGACAATCAATCTAGCATAGACTACCGAGTGAGTAGCAGAATGTGCAGCACCACCAATCCACCATTTAGTAGCACCAATATGAGGAGTATTTATAATGAACTCATCAGTTTTTTCATCAAAAGTAGCAGTTGTTTCGCAACCAGCAACGTTTGAACCATGACCCAACTCGGTCATACCAAAACAACCCCAAAGATGTTTCATATTATGAGATTCTTTATCAATACACCAATATTTGTACTGAGAATCGGTTCCATTACCCTTGATACAATTACCAAATAACCCTAAATTTACACTAATCCTAATACCTAAAGAAGGATCATATACAGTAACCAAATTCAATCTTCTGAAAAATTCAGAATCAACCTCTTGTTCTTTATACCTAGTCATTCGATTAATACGCTCAGTCGTTTGTAGCCTATTGGCATGCGTACTTAAATCATAATCTTTGAAATTACTCTGCAAAACTGGATCTCTCTCTAACGATTGGTATAAATCCAAAATCAAATCCGATTTCTGTTCACCACCTTCAATGAATTCGTGCATTGACTTCAAATTGAAGTCGGTGTTCTGTCTTTCCTTGGACACCAACTCTTTTGGTGTTGGTCCATTACCAGAAGAAATAAATTTTTTCACCGCAAATGACATTTCTGTTAAGCCTTGAAGAATTGACGGAGTAAAAATTCATTAAAACCAGCAATTCCTTATTATAAAAAAGAATTCGAATTGCCCGGAGGTGGAGCTTACTCCGTGAAGTATCCGACCTCAAGCTCTGCTATTCTTGAATCCTTTGAAGTATTTTGTGGGGTACTCAGTCGCTTTGTCGTGGTTACTTTTTCCGTCGTCTGATTTTGCAGTCCCCTCATTTCAACCCGCGTATGATTTAAGCACCCGAACCGTTTGCTTATGATTTGGTCCTGGCGGGCGGGCCCGTTGTCCGAGCTATTGGTTCGAGCCTGGCTGGTGATGGCCGAACGCAATGCTGGATTGGTTGGATTGTATCCGGTTGGCCAATCCGATGGGCTCGTTGGCTGCAAAACTTGGAGATGGTGAAATAAAAGGATCAGGTCATTTTGAGGACACACTACATCGTTCGATATATCCAGCTTCTACAAGGAAATGCATTAATAGAGCATGTTTTTATCTTTTTACATGGACTATGGACTCATAAATAAAACGAAACAAAGGGCAAAAGCAAAGTAAGTCGGATCAAATCAATTATTTGAATAAGATTTTAGCAACTTCCGGAGTTTTTTCAAATCTTTCTCTTTCAGCCAAAGCGGGTCTATTCAACATAGCTTCTAAATCAGCAGAATAAGGAGCTTTGGAGATATAAGGAGGATTACTTTCTTTAACGACTTTGAAATAATTTTCGTAAACATTACCATCGTAATTACCAATAGCAGAATTAATAATCATATCAGGATATTGGAAAGAATCAGTGAGAGCAACAACGTGAGGTCTAACGGCTTTCAATAAACTTGGGATATGTTTAGAAGTTAATCCGCTTAATAAAGTAGTTGGTAATACCCCATAAGCCAAGAAATCACCACTGAATTTATCCAAAACAACACTAGCAGAGTATAATTGGACAATACTTTGTAAATAAGGAAGTAATTCTTTATTTTCAATAGTATCGAGACGATGAAGGAATTCTTCAATCAAATAATGGTGGGCTCTTAATTTAGAAAGGGTAACCATTTCAGCACCAACAACATCAAATTGACCACCATTTTCTTGAATGGTTTTATGAGCTTGATAAGCCGATCTAATGATGACAACTTCAATAGCATGTAAGATTTTTTTATCATCTTTCAAGTCATCAAGAGTTTTCAAAATAGGAGCATCACCAAGAGAAGATTTTGAATTACTTAACCAACTCAAGGTACCAGTAATTTCTTCACCTTTTTCGACGTTTTTAACCACATCTCTAATGATGGGTTTACCAACTGACATGGCCAAGACATTATTATCACCTTCCCAAGTACATTGAACAACCCAATCATTATAAGCTCTACCAAACCCATTATAACTTGAATAACCATGACCACCACAAGCTTGTCTTGATTGATCAATTAAATCGGCAGTTAACCAAGTACTAGTAGATTTTAAAGAACCAGAATCAACAAATAAAGATTTCATCAGATTAATTGATTGCATAATCTTCGACATATCTTGAGCAGCAACTGCAGCATCTAATTCAGCAATGGTGTCAGTAATAACTTTTTCAATTTTAAGAGCCCCAGCAGAAAGAATATAAGCAGTGGCCAATAAGGGTAATAATCTTCTTTGGTGTAGAGGATAATTTAATAATTGAGTTTCTAAGTTATCGGTACCATTTGAAGATTTGAATTGACGACGAGCAATAGCATAACGTAAAGCAATGGTGATGATTCTTGCCGACATTCTAAAAGAATCCAAAGCCATTGAAACTCTACCACCTAATAAAGCACTATAACTTAATTGTTCCAAAGGAGGTAATTTAACATTACCTTCTCGACTAACCTTAGCATATTTTTGTAACATAAAGTATCTTGGAATACGAACACTTGAAAATTGAATCCAACCATTATCGATACCATCTCTACCCATTTTAGCACCAATATCACCAACGGTAACCCCAGGATAGGTATTATGATTTGAATCTCTTAAAGGAACGATAAAAGTTTTAACCCCATAATCTTTACCTTTAACAATTAACCTGGCATAAACTGCACAATGAGTAGAAGAATGAGCAGCACCACCAATCCACCATTTGGTAGCACCAATATGGGGAGTGTTTATAATAAATTCATCAGTTTTTTCATCAAAAGTAGCGGTGGTTTCCAAACCAGCAACGTTGGAACCGTGAGCCAATTCAGTCATACCAAAACAACCATAAATACCTTTAATATAACCGGTTTCCTTTTTATTTGCCCAAAAATCATATTGATCAACAGTCCCGTTACCTCTAATACAATTCAAAAACAACCCCAAATTAATATTAAGTCTAGTATTCACTTGAGGATCGAAAACAGCAACATAACTCAATCTTCTTTGAAACTCTTCGGGTGATTCAACTTCCAAGTATTGCGATAAACGGTGGATTTTTTCCACAGTCAAGGCTCTTTGTTGATCTTTAGTTAAATCAAAATACTTTGGACTAGCTGACAAAACCGGATCTCTTTCCATTTGCTGGATCATGGCCTTGGCTTGCTCACTACGTTGTTGAGATCCTTCCAAAAAGTAATTCATTTTAACTGGATCAAAAGCATTTTTAGCCCTTTCTTCTTGAATAGAAGATTGGGGGTTTGGAGGATTTAACGAATTAATAGTATTCACTGCAACGTTAGACATGTTAGCTGAAGTATTTGCTTAAATGTTTGCTGAACACAATCAATTAAGCTTTTTTTGTTCAAATAAGGATTTTGGATGCTTTTATAAATTGATAGTCGGTTCAAATTGAAGGATTTTATCGGTAATATTTGTTAGGTGGCACGATCCCGAGGTAAACTCTTTGTGTGGGGAGGAAATTGTGATTTTCCCTGTCAGTTTTTGGCGTCTCTTTTGGGTTTTTTTTAACCGAGGAACAATGCGTTTTTTCCCTTGGTTGATTATGTAACTCACAATAACTAAGTTGAATAATCGACTGATTTATTTGAAAAAACTGATTTCCTGGTGATGTTTATTAACTGACAATTATTGACTGATAAAACGTTTACAATTGCAATTGCAATTGCAATTGCAGCTGATTGCGAAAACGTCAAAAGGGGAACGGAGTCCCCCCAATAAACTCCGACACCTCCGACAGAAAAGGAACGTTCTGCTTTTTTTTCGGAGCACAACCTGTAAATACAGCCTTGCGGGTTGCTCCGGGTGTTTTGCAGGTTGTGTGGCTGTAATCTGCGCTCTGTAACCTGCATTTTTATAAACTGCATTTGCAGTTTTTCGTCAGATTTTTTATTCCAGTTGTTTCTGGTTGTTTTTAGTTGATGGTTGTTCCTTATTGGTTGGTTATTGGTTGTTTGCATCTTACTCACAACTATCTGACGTGGGTGTGATGGTTACAAGGGATCCAAGCGGTGGTTATGGATGATTTGGCGGCGATGGTACGGTACATGCGTTGAATTCAGATGAGCGGCTAATCTTGCTCAATTAATACAAGCTGGTGGTTGATGGTGGTTGATGGTAGATGTAATTGAAAGAAACTCTCCGGGTTCTGGTCATGGGTTACGTATGATTGGACTTGTTCCCGTATATGTGTCCGTTGATAAGATAACAATCGGGGTTGGCTTAACTATCCCGACTGAATGTATCACTCAAAGCGTCTACCCCGAGAAATGAGTCAAAATCGCACTTACTCGCCGCTACGCCTACAGGACATTGCCTTTATCATTTCATTACTTATGTATTGCTAATGGTTTTTGTCTTGTACGAAATTAAAGTTTAGTGGTACAGGTACAGCAGAAAGAACAAAGCCTGGGAAAGTTTAATGAAGACGAAAAAGAAAAGGAACTAAAAAAAAAAAGACAAAAAAAAAATAAATTTACAGAACAAAGAGAAAAAGATGCTGCAAATGTTTATCCTTGATAGTGCTCTCCATCCATAGAGTTGAGGTCCGAAAATGACTTGGTTGGCTGTAAGTTTTCTGTTGCTGACATGGGGGTTGTGGTTGGAATATCAAAGAACGGAGTTATTGTGAAGTTAGGGTATTGTTGCATATCAAAGAATGATTTATCAGGTTGCTTGTCTTCTTCTTCACCTAATGCCATTTTCAATTCTTGATCTAAATAATTAACTCTGGATTGTCTTGATTCTTGCTCTTGTCGTATTATTTGCATGATTTTATGACTATTAAATCTAAATCTTCTGGTATTAACATAACCAATCATCAGAATACAATATTCTTTGGTCAATCCTAATTTATGAAATAATTGTTTTTCCTTTGAACTTATTCGTCCATCGTCTTTATAAGATCCTTTTAATAAATCATCGATATCATTATTGATTGAAATCCATTCATCTTCATTGAGTTCATTAAGATCCTTGTTAAAATTTTCAATTTTGGCCATGACTTCAATAATACATTTCCTTTCGTTTGATTCATAATTTAATAAATATATGATTATTAGAAAACTTTTACCCAGTTTATAATAATTTCTATCCATTGAATATTTTTTCTGAACTAACTCTTGACAAGTTCGCTGAAATTGCTTTAAATTTTGACTATTATCAATCATGCTTTTCAATGTCTTATAATCTTTTTGATAATCATATATCTTATGGGGTATTGTTATTGGATGAAAAGCTGGATTTAATTTGCTTCTATACTTATCCTTATTTTGGTTGATGTCAGTGTTATTCATAACAAGGTCAGGCTAATCGATCAGTTCATATCGTTAATGTTCGCTGGATTATTGTGGTTTTCATTGGTAAAGTTCTTTGAATGCTAGATCATTCAGGTCTTTCCATGAGATTTTGACTTGGTGTATTTTTTTTTTTAATGGTGTTTTTTGTATTTTTTCTTATTAAAAAAAAAAAAAAATTAAACTTTCAAAAAGATGCTATACTATAATTTATTTGCCAGTTGTAAGGGTTTGATGAACTGTTCCCTTTATTTATCGTTCACTCAGAAAAACAAATGCTAAAAACAAAAACAAATGCTAATTCAATTGGTTTTTTTTCTGACCCAAAAAAAGAAAGCCAATAAATGGTAATAAGTAAAAAACTTGGTCAATTTATAAGATTTAAATTCCAAAAGTTGAAAATCAAAACTGTGAAAAGACAAAATGAAAACTTGAAATAAAGAAATAAAACGAAAACAAAAAATTTAACGACTAATGACAAAGACAAAAAAAGAATTATTGAATCTTTTTCAGATCAAGAATGGTGTCACGAAAGAAAAAAAACCTTTAGGAGTAGGGAGTCCCGCTGAAAAATTTAATCCTATGATATTTGGAAATACGGATATATATATATATGTATCTATATTTTATGACTTTCATGTCACAACTTATATAATACAAGTATATATGTACGTGACTAGCAGATGCCAATGTACTAACCAGGATGAAAAATTGAAACAAAACAAGAAGGGAAAAAGAAAGGAGATTCGACAGATTTATCAGAAACAAAAAAAAAAACAAAATTAATAATAAATAAAAATAAATTTTATAAAGACAAAACCAACTAATTGATTACAAAGGTACCTAAATAATTTTTTAAAATTTGCATTTACCGAGAATAATGTCATACAAAATCGTTCATGCTTTATCCTTGACTTCTCAAAGTATTGGGTCAATCCCTTCAGTTGGAGTTGCTTTCAAGATTGGGCATATTGCAAAATTCAATCTATGTTCGAGCAACTCAATCTTTGCCAAAGGTTATGATCAAGAATTCACTTGAATCATCTTCAAATAGGATACAAAATTGAAATGTACAAAATTGTTATTGGAAAAGGTACAATACTATATGCAACGGATTTACTTAAATTAGCAAGAGGTTCGAAAACATTCTTTGATTTCGTTTGGCTATAAGACATATTCAATCATATCTCCATATATTTCTCATCAGGCAATAAGACTGGCTCGAAAAGTATCTTTTGTCTCTTTGGTTGGTCTTTTTTTTCTTTTTTTTTTTTGGTTTTTTTTATTGGGCCTATAAGTCTAACTAGACTCTTAGTTTAAGTCACCGAACGTTTATGAAGAAAATAATAGATTTCACAGATGTTATTTAAGAAATGATCATTACATTTTTCGCATATGTACGTTTCTATCTAATATTTGACGATCCCATGGTGTCCTTTTCAAAAACAGAACAAAACAAAAAAAAAAAAATAAAATGAAAATGCCTTTCTCTCAATCAAACGTATTTGCTTAATATGCAGCCAACCCACAGTTGATCACTAAGCAATGTGAGAATCCAAATAATCCAATGCATAGCTGGTGGAATATGAAACGGGTTCTGGTTTTAACGGAATTGTTGCGTGGTGTTTTTATCAGAAAAGCACAATAAACCGTTTAAATTTCCACGGAAGCAACTCCTCATTAACATTTTTAGGTCCAAGTACATCAGATCTACTTCTGTATACTTGTTTCAGTTTCAAATCAAGCAAAATTTGAGTGAATAGTTTAATTTTTTGCGTCTAGCCCAGGTTACTTTCTTTTCATTTTTCTTTTTCTTTTTCCTTAATTTTTCTTTTTCTGGTCCATAACTGTCCTTTTTCGTTTGAATTCTACTAACTGGACTTCCAGTATTGAAGGCTGGTTCAAGTTTAAGCTACATTTGCCAGGAAATTGTCAACGGTTTTACGCAGTGAACAAAATCGAATGCACCAACCCGCGGAGCTATTGAGAAACCCGCATGTTTCAGTCCGAGGTGATATTGGACGTCTTGCAAAACTTGCAACTAAGCTAATTAGTAGTAAATTTGTAATTAAACTTTCCCACAAATACCCTAATCAAATGCAACCAGGTTTAGGGGTTAGCTTAGACTTTCCTTGCAAAAAAAGTCTAATGGGGGGTCTGGGATCTCCTTTAGTTCATAATTTGGCGTCTTGTGATAGTGATCTACCATAATTATGTTTTTTGTTTTTTTAGTTGGCATGCATTGGTGGAATTTATAACTTTTTCAGTCTGAATATATCCACCATGACCTTGCAACTTAAGGTATAAAGTTCTATTTAACGAGTGTTCTTTGTTTTAAACTTTCTTCTATACTTGAAGAAAAAAAAAATTGATGCAATTTCATCCAACAACTTTTCCTTTTGCTGAAATAGCCACTATATGAAATAGTTATCCCGTAAATGCAAAAGAATTTCGACCTTTGTTTGGTTCATGCAAAGAAAACACATTTCATATTTCTTTAAATCACCATCTTCCCTAACAACTCATACAGGCCTACATCCTATATTGAAATTTTTATATTGGCAACTAATTGTTTTATGTACAGAGGTAATTTTCCCGTTGAATTTGGGAATATAATAGAGTAAATTTGAGTCATGAAAATGTAACATAACTTCACGGTATCCAATCAAAATATTGGCTTGTCATTATCATTTTTGTCTTGTTTTGTTGATCTTTGACTCTCTTGTTTCTAAAATCATCATTATAATTGGGGGACCAAGTAATCAGCAATTGGTGATTGAATAATGGCAACACCAACGGCAAATAATGTGACATTAACAGCAGCAGTGTATGCTGGGGTCTTTTTGAATTGTTGAAACTTGGATTCTTTGGTTGCTTTGGATTCTCTGGCAAACATCTTGTTGTCTTTTTTTGCTGTTACTACAATAGAAGAGTATTGAAAGATTTGAAATGACTTTTTTCAAGTCGAAAAGAAGACAAAAAAAAAAATTATCGAGTGAAAAATTGTGCGTTTGGTGCACGACCCGACCATTTGGTAGTGTATTTGTGAACAAAAAAAAAAGACCAATGAATTTATTGCTGCAAATTGCAGTAATTTGCAAAGACGAGTCTTGACTAAAGTATGCATTTATGAAAGTATGCATTTATGAAGAGTTGGTCTTCTCGTTTGCCGGTGGGACTGGGGCCAGTTGCGGCTTACAAGGGAGGTGCAATGGCTCTCCACGGATCCTGCCTGGAAGGAAACGACACCAATATGTCCTGGCACCTATGTCACGGCTCCAAAAGTGTAGACAACTCGATGGTGTCATGTATACTCTGTCTGGAAGGCTTGTCTTGCCTTGGTGAGGTATGTCTTGTTATGTCTTGCCTTGAGTAAATCCGCCCGATGCAGAAAGCATTCCCTGGTCAACCGTCGTTATCCCCGGCCCTTCTGCTAGCCAATGCACTATTACTTAGAAGCTGCTGATTATACTGTAAGTAGAGGTAGGATTACTTACTGGTTGGAAGCAAGCGAGTAGTTTGGCGAATCACCTAGTGTCGTCAATCATGAGTGGGAGAAGACGGGTTAGAGACGTGGAAACGACGTGGAAACGACGTGGAAACGACGGAGAAACGATGTGGAAAAGGCAATGGTGCCTCCTAAAACCTTATCTTACTTCTCTCAACCTCGAATATCCCATCTTGATTATATATGCATTATGTATATGCATTATGTATATGCTTCACAGTCTATATACGCTGTCAATGTATGTGCTTCACAGTCTATATACGCTTTGTCAATATACACTTTGTCTATGTATATCCTTTGTCTATGTATTTGTCTATTATATATGCTTTGTATATACGCTTCGTCTATGGATCTCATTCTCCCCCGCACGACTCTGTTTCTACAGTGCTAAATTTTCAAAATCAAAACCTCGCGGAGGTCTTCCCAGGTCTTCAATAGTAAGTATTGAAATTACTTGGGCCTACAAGGAATATATCTAGTTGGAAATGGCATCTGTTGAAGTTGAATTGGGTGTTACCCCAGAAACTACCTATAGCATTGCCGGTAAGCAAATCAAGTTTGATTCTCATGCTGATATCGAACCTTATTTGAAAGAATTTGAATCAAAAGACAAAGTTAGCAAAATTAATTTCAGTGGGAATACCATTGGTATTGAAGCATCTGAATCGTTAAGCAAATCTCTTTTGAAACATAAGGATACTATTGTAGAAATTGATTTCAGTGATTTGTATACTGGGAGATTAAATACCGAAATCCCTCAATCATTAGAATTTTTATTACCATCGTTATTAAAATTACCAAATTTGAAATTGCTTAATTTGAGTGATAATGCATTTGGATTACAAACCATTGATCCTATTGAGGCTTATTTACCTAAGGCTATCACTTTGGATCATATTATTTTATCTAATAATGGTATGGGTCCATTTGCTGGGGCAAGAATTGGTAAGGCATTATATAAATTATCTCAAGCTAAAAAAACCGCTAATAAACCATCTTTGAAAACTTTTATTTGTGGAAGAAATAGATTAGAAAATGGTTCTATCAATTATTTAGCTATTGGTTTAAGAAATCATCAAGATTTACAAGTTGTTAAATTATATCAAAATGGTATTAGACCAACTGGTATTTCCAAATTAATCTCAAAAGGTTTAAGTCATAATAAAAATTTAACCATTGTTGATTTACAAGATAACACTATTACTACTCAAGGTTCAATCGAATTAGCTGATTCCATTTCAAATTGGTCTAAGTTAGTTGAATTAAACTTAAATGATTGTTTATTAAAAGCAAAAGGTTCTTTAGCTTTAGTTGAAAGTTTATCAAAAATTAAATTACCTTCTTTAAAGCTTTTAAAATTACAATATAATGAATTAGAAAATGATTCTTTATCTAAATTAGTTAAAGTTATTCAAGATAATTTACCAAATTTAAAATCTTTAGAATTAAATGGTAATAGATTTGAAGAAGATTCTGATTTAATCGAAAAAATTAATGATATTTTCACCGAAAGAGGATTTGGTGAATTAGACGATTTAGATGATTTAGAAGAAATAGATAGTGAAGATGAAGATGAAGACGATGATGAAACTAATGATGATGAAGCGGATGATGAAGACTTGGATCAATTAGAAAAAGAATTGGCTAGTCTTGATCTTAATCAAAATGATAAGGCTGTTGACGATATCGCAGATGAATTATCAAAAGCTCATATCAAATAATCTCTATAGTTTTATAATTTCACATGTACAATTATAATATTATATTTATTTCGATCAGTATAAACTTAAATTAGTCATTGGATATTATAGCAGGTACTTTCACATGAATATATTCATTGGCGGATAACAGAAAACTTAAATCAAAATAGTACATTCTGGACGAGTTGCAAATTTGATATGATGGAACTAAACAATATTTGTCAAAAGCATCTCCACTACTATCTTTGGGGTTTACATAACTAAGTTCAGCGCTCTTCACATTAATGTCTAAAGTTAGGTTTTGTTCAAAGCTGTTTTTCTCTTGATTAAGCTCCCATTTGAAAGCCTCTTTAGATTCTGGATCTGTTGAGTCACTGACTTTAAAATCATGTACCCTAAGTCGAGTAATTTTATCTTCAATATCACATATTCCTTTCAATTCATTTATTAAGGAAGACTCTACTCGGAAATTGTCTGTTCCTAGAGTCTTGAAAAGTTGATAATATTGCTTAGCAAATTCACGAAATTTTTTCCTGGTATTATTAATAAATGTATCTTCGTCTTCTATAGGGTTTGAGTAAAACTTTTGAAATTCATTATTGAAAATGAAACTATGGTCCAATTGAAGCGGGATATCATGTTCGACAGATTGAAGAGTTAAGACCACCAAATCACATCGAAAGTTTTTCAAATCAGGTAAACTTTTATCAGCAGATGATGATGATGAATCTAAAAGAGAACTTCCTGTAAAATTCAATTGAAGAGGAATTTTGAACTTCCAAGAAGATGCATCGACAGCTTTTGACTTTCTAAATTTGGGTGGAGGAATATATTTCATATTAATTAATGATTTCAGTGAAATTATATCCAAAGCTCCAAGGGGTTTCGAACTTAGTAACTTCCTTTTTGTCAAAGGAATTATTTTTCTATAGGTTTCCTGTTTCTTAGAAAGATCGAAACCTTCTTTGACGTCTCTGGTCTTAGCTTGGGATTGCGTTCTGTATAGCTGACGAGCTTTCACTAACTCATTTTTATTCGACTCTTCAAGTTTTGTTGATAAGTCCAATGTGTTATTAAACTTATCCACTGATAAAGACTTTACCATTTCTTCTCCAATTTCTATTTTCTCCTTCAATCTGGAAATTAAATTTTTTTTCAATAACTGAATTTCTATTGCTTTTATCTTAGCTTCTGTTTCAGTTATGTTTTCTTGCTGTAAAACACGAATCGGAGTATGTGACTCTTTAAAAATAACAAACTCATCCCCATCAGAGTTGATCAATGTTGGCACTTCATTTTTTGGCTTTTCTCTGGTTTCATTCAAAGAAGAGGCTTTACCAATAATTCTTACCATCACCCCATAAGATGTTGAAGCGCCCTTGAAGGCAAAGTCCTTGAAACTTTCTTGTTCTTTTAATGGAAAAATATTCAGAACCCCCATAGAAGGTGGTAACACTGTATGGTAAGGAAGATGATGATCATTGCATTCAGAATCTAACAACCTTTCTGGGATTTTGAAAGTGAAAAATCTTTTATACTTCACATGAGGGACAATTAGACGGTGTAATATTCCAGTATTGGCACCATCAATTGAATCAATAATTAAGGGACACAATCTAGAGTCTGTATGTTCTGAAATGAGTCTATCGACTTGCACTTCATTATAGGAGGCACTGAAATCAAACATTTCTAAGAATTTTTTATACTTCAATGGTTTCGATTCATTCTTTGGGTTTGAAACCAAAAAGTGCCCTTCAAATAAAACATAAAGCATTTCAAATGGAATTGTAGTTTCAGAGTTATTAATAACGTAAAGATGACCATTAACGAAGTCTCCCTTCTTGAACTCATAAAGCAGAGGATCAATTATTTCTGGCTCCTTGTGAATCTCACCAACATCTTTAGTAAAATAAATCGATATCGTTAATGATTTTGCCAACTCATTTTCGGTATCAGTCAAATTACGTAGGTTATGGATATTTTCAAGAATTGTTGCAGTCCAGTTGTTTTCATTCTCATTAGTGACGATATAATTTTCGTTCAAAGCATCTTGGCTGCTAAAACCATTGACGGGATTCAGCAGGTTATTCAAAGAAGTTTGTTCTGAACTACTACCTCGGTGGTTTGACTGTGAAATAATTGTATTGTTGTCACTCATAGAAGTACTCTCATTGCTTAAAGTAGAGGACGAATAAGTGTAAGAAGGTAATGAATCCTTTACTAAAGTAGATGCATACATCTCATACGAAGGTAGGATCGACCATACGGGATCATCAGAATCCTTATGGGTGTTATTGAAGTCATCCTTCACTCTCTCTTTGTCTCCCATCTTGATTTCCTATATTGAAATTTGAAAAGTCACTAAACTGACTCTGCAATTGGCTTCTTTAAATAAGCATCAGTGTCTCTCTATGACTCAATTTCAATTTGTAAGCACGGCTGGGGTTGTAAATCGCGGAATCTGAAAAAAAAAAAAAAAAAAAAAAAAAAAAAAAAAAAATCCATCTCACAATGCATTCACGGAGATTATACCGCTGCCACTCTTAATATGAAAGATAAGAGCTGCCAGCGAAGGGCAAATGCGGTAATTACAGGCCGAGTTTGTTGGCTGACTTTTCTGTTACTATTTGAGCTATGGTTTTCGATTTCTGAAGGTACTCGATTTGTTTTGCAGCCATCTGTATCCTGAAAACCATTGGAAATGAATCCAGCTACTCATTCTTCCTATCCGTAGCTCCTTAGTCATACTTCGTTGAGGACAGCTATGCGTCAATTTTGGTAGCTCTGCATTATTCTTTGGTGATTCTCATCTGAAAATGGCAAGTCATTTTTGAGAGCATGAATAGAAATTCTTGAATTAGTCATTTTAGTTTTTAGGTCTCGGTTCTGAAGCAAGCTTTACGAAAACTTCCATATACTTAAGACATTTGGTAGTCTCTGTCGTTTCAGACTTCTTCAGCCCCCACCCTGTCGTAGAACTTAATTAAGCGGACAAAGCCGGACTATTTTGTGTTTTGTTATTCTCGGATTCAAATGTTATTTTAAGCCAAAACTACGAATATTTTAAGGTTTTCACTAGGTTTGTATGTAACTGGTTACCGCTGAAAACTAAGGGCTAAAAATAATAAGCAGAAACTTGCTTACAGAGTTATGTTTATGAATCATTAGGCACTTTTCGTGAGGCTGTTTTTGAACGGTTGCAAAATGAAGGTTACAATATACAATATTTTTTTTGTGTCAATCTTTTTAAAAGCTATAAACAAAGAACTGAATTATAAAAATAAAAAAAGAATAGCTACCACTTCTCTATCACTGCTGGGACTTTGACATGGAAATATTCATTGGTTGTCAACTGAAAGCACAAGTCAAAATAGTACATTCTAGCCATGTTACAAGTTTGGAAAGAAGGAACAAAACAAAATTTATCGTAGGCCGATTCATTTCCACGGTTTTTTGACTGAAGGTATTTGAAGTCAGCACTTTCAACGTTCACACTCAAGCTTAGAGATTGTTCAAAACTATTTGAGCGATCGTTCAAATCCCAATTCAAATCGGATAAGTCTTTCATGTCTTTAGACCCATTAATTTTGAAATCGTCGATTTTTAACTTCATGAACCTTTCTTCAATGCCACACATAGCCTTCAAATCATCAATAAGGGAGGCTTCGACTCTGAATCTGTCAGAGCCTAGAGTTTGAAATAAATCATAATATTTTTTGCCCATTTCCTGAAATGGTTTCTTGATTATATGAACGAAACTATCGTTATCGGTGGTTGGATCATTATAAAATTTCTTAAAATCGTTTTTGAAAAGAAAGTTATGGTTGAGTTGAAGTGGAATATCAAACTTTTTTGATTTGAAAGTGGCCACAACCAAGTCACACAGAATTTTCTTGAAACGGGGCAATTCTTTATGAGTGCTTAATAAGGATCCTGAAGTGAAACTTAAATTAATAGGCATATCGAACTTCCAGGTAGAATTATCAATTGGTTCACCCAATCTAAATTTTGGTGGTGGGATGTATCTCAAGTATATCGGCATTTTTGGAGAAGAAACTTTTAAAGTACCATTAGAGTTTGAATGAAGTAATTTTTTCTTCATTAGTGGTATGATCATTTCATAATTATCACACTTATCGATTATTTTATCACCATATTTTGCCTTAACATCTCTTGAATGCTTACTTGAATATAATTGACGAGCCTTGGCTAAATCATTTTTATTGGCTTGGTCTAATTTCTTAGCTAATTGAATAGCTTCATCTGAATGATTTTCATTTAAAGATTGGACTATTTCTTCGCCAATTTCGATTTTCTCTTTCAACCTTGATATCAAATTTTTATACATTGTTTCTATTTCTAAGGTTTTTAAATTATAATCAAGCGTTGATTGGACCGGAGCTTGTTGTAAAATTCTCATTGATACTTGGTTATCTGTGAAAATCACGAATTCATCACCATCAGAGTTAACTAATGTTGGGTTTGAATTGTGTGATTTTTCATTCTTTTCATTATATTGATAGGCCTTACCAATAAATCTAGCGGTCAATCCGTAAGTAATTGAAGAATCGGGGAACAGAAAGTCCTTGAATTTGTCTTCGTCATTCACTTGAAAATATTTCAGAATACCAAGAGTAGGAGGTAATTCTGTATGATAAGATAAGTTGTGAACGTTACATTCAGAATCTAATAATCTTTCAGGAATTTTAAATGTGAAAAACCGTTTATAAGTTGTTTTTGGCTTTAGAACACGTTCAGCTAATGATAACTCGGCGTTATCGATTGGATCAATCAAACTGATTGTTTGGAAAAGTTCATCTTTATTATTTTCAGAGATTAATCGATCAATTCTAGCTTCGTTATAAGAAGCACTGAAATCAAACATTTCTAAGAATTTTTTAAATTTAACTGGTTTTGATTCATTCTTTGATGCAATTAGAAAATGCCCTTGGAACATAACATAAAACATTGTGAATGGAACTTCGAAGTCAGAAGTATTTGTAATATAAATATGCCCATTAATAAAATCTCCTTTTCTATACTCATGAAGTAAAGGGTCAATCAAAGTTGGTTTTTCATTCACTTTACCAACATCTTTAGTAAAATGAATAGATATATCAATGGCTTTTGAATACTCATTACCAGTTTTGGTTAAACTACGCAAATTGTGAATATTGTTTATAATAGTCTCTGTCCAATTATTGGTATTTTCATCAGTAATAATCAAGTTTTCATCAATCGAAGTATCTTCAAAGCTTAATCTGCTTAAAGAAGACGTCAAGTTATTACTAAAATTATAATTAGTAGCAGTATCGTTTGGTTCATGTCTTAAATTCTCGTTACTATTTGACTCGTAAGCATTACTTCCTGAAGATTCACCTTCATCAGAGTAAATTGAATAGGCCGGTAAATCATCCCTTACCGATCTAGCCAACGTATGCGTATGCATATCATACGAAGGTAAAATAGACCAAACCGGATCATCTGTTGCCAACTGCTGGTTTTGGAAATCGTCCTTAAGCATGTTTTGTTGACTCATCACTTACAAAAATGCTAAAGTTAGGCAATCACCTTCATCCATTAACATATATTCAAATATATATATATAGGTATTTGCAATACCCCGGTCGCAAAATCCCTCCTAAACCGGTAATTTTGAATCCGCTAAAGGCATTTTCAATATGACTCAATCAACAAGCTCCTTCCACAAGCTTCGATCACTCTAAATTTAGTTGACGCATTGTCGCAGGGAAGCTTATCATTTGGAGGATCGCTCAACGGCCGAGTTGATTGGCCCTAGTGGCTTGTCTGCGTTCGTACTGGCAATTAGATTAGTAGTATTGATTACAAATGCTAATTATATATTATAAAATACGTGGAATACATGGAAGATTCCACCATGCCTATGCAAGATACCGCTGTTGAAAAGTTTGTTTGTCCAAAATTTGTGCCGTTTCATTTGCAACCATCTTATTCGATGGTTACAGGAATATAAATTACTTGTTTACCACGAGAAAACTTTAAGATTAGTTTGATAAAATATAATCTTGCCATATAGCAGGTTTGGAAATTTGGAATCAAGGTGAATCCTCCAAATCGGTTATACTGGACTGCTTTATCTAATTTCTTGATGTGCATCGACTTGAGTTTCACAACGGCGTCGATGCTTAAGGATTTTGTTTTCCTTTCCTGATTTGGTTTTCTATTATTTATATTTTTAAGCTTGGTTTTCAAATTTTCATTTTGATTATCTTGAGTAGAATCGTAGTTTACTTTGCAGTCTATATCGTCAATTTGTAATTCATGGTAAACGCATTTCAAGTTTGACATTCTTCTGATATTTTCGTATAAGTAGCTGCCCAGTTTAAAAGATTCGTTGTTTTTAGATAGTGTTTTCTTAACTTCTTTGAAAAGTTTGTGATATGGGTCACTGATGATACTTTTGAAATTTGTATCCTCGTGGCTGTTATTGAAGATCATATCTGGAACAATCATGAATGGAATCGAACTAGTTGCAGAATCAACGGTTACCAGAACCAATTCACACTCGATTGATTTCAATTTGACCTTTGATGCACTTTCGAATTTAATGGGGATCTTGATCTGTTGATTAACGTCCGGATGTTTTGATATTGGCGGAGTATATCTCAACGTAAATGGTTCATGCATAGATATAATCACTTTCGTTCTAACTTCTCCAACGGTGAACGTTTTTTCTAAATCAGTATTGCAGGTACCCTCTTTGATTTCAAATAATTTAGATATCATTTGATCGTATTTCTTTTTATCATATAATCTCAATTCCTGCTTTAATCTGCTATGAAAGAATTGATAATTTTTAACAATCGATGGATCGTTACTATTATAATTTCTTGGGATAATTCTTATCCTACGGTCTCCATGTCCCATCTTAATGAATTCCTCTTTGGTTTCCCCTATCAAATATGAATTGATAGAATACTTTATTGAAGTATAATCAATTCCAAAATCCCTAAACTTCCCGGCTCCTCCAAAACTCGGGGGTAAGTATAAATGATTCGTTAAAAAATGACTACAATTAGCATCTAGTATATACTGGGGGACCTTGAAAGTGAAAAACCGTTTATATTTTATATGTGGCTCTAACACTTCGTTCATTACGATGCATGTTTGATCTATCGGATCCTTTTGAGTTGTAGGAAGGTTTTCATTCACCAATGATGCATTTAAATCAACCATACTTATAATTTTATGCGTCAATTTGTCATCGTACTGGTAGACTCCTTCAAGAAGAATATATAACACACTGAAAGCTATCCTCTCTGATGAGGTATTTTCAATTGTTGCATATCCGTATATATAATCGTCTTCTTTATATTCTTTAGTATCATCGTTAAAAATTTGCGGTTCTTTTCCAATGACACTCGGGGTTTCTGTCAATTGGATATCAATCTTGATATTCTGATTGTAATTCATCTTCAACTTATCTAGATCATTGAATCTTATGGTCTTCAGAGTATCAATCGAAGTCCTGCTTTGATTGGGGGTTAAATGGTTCAATATTTGGTATTCTGGAGGTTCATCGTTACGCAAGTGTTGTAACTTCTTGTGCACTAGCGACTTATACATAGAATACAGAGGCAATATTGCCTCTGTTGAGTTTAAATGGTTTATTGGACCGACTTGTAATCCACTTGTTATCGACATGCTTGTTGAATCTTCATGATATTGCGGAGATCGCGGAATTAGATCTAAGCGAGATTTAATAGGAAGTTTTAAATCCTCGAAGCTATTGAGTCTGTTAATCTGACCTCTATCACAAACCTGCTAACAAAAACTTATTTAATTAGAAGTAGCTAAAGAAATAAGATAAGATAATTAAGATTTGAAAAATTATTGGGCTTAATAGGAGTATCCGGTTTCCGCTCATGCAGATGATTTATTCGTTAGCAAGCGCACGTCTGAAATATGAAAATTATTTATATTTATCTACGCTATTATTTGTTAATCTATATAAATGACTCTATCTACCGAACTTTTTCAATTCAAAGTACCTAAGTATCGGATAACTGATCCCACTGAGACCCATACATAACCACATTGCAATATCACCACCACTTTCACCGCCACAGAGTTTAGCTAAAGGTCCAACCCAGTAGACTTGGGACATACCTAAAGCAGCACCAGAGGCTCCGATGATAAAAGCACCGGAAGCTGCAAGACCTCTGGTGAGCTTATCGTAATCGTTCCAAATATTGAAATTGTAGTGTTGATTTTTTCTTTTAGAGAATAAAATATAATGTTTTGTCTCCATGACTTCGTCTTCTTCTCTTGAGAATTCTTTTGTGTATAAATGCATAAAAGTATCGGTTCTGAAAATAGTGTTTTCTTCTAGCAACATAATGAAATACATAGAAATCCAATAACCAATCATTGGTAAGAAATTACCCAAGATTTCTGCAAACTTATTTCTGCCAACTAAGGCACAAACCAAATAGACAATGGTAATGAAGAAAGCCCAAAGCCATCTTGGAACTTTTGCAAGACCGGATCCAGCAAGCTGGATACCAAATGCTGCAGAGTAAGTGTTGATAATATTATTGGAAATTAATGATAAGAAAATCAAAATTAATAAAAACTTTCCTCCAGCTCCCCATGGTTTAAAAACTTCGTTTAATAAGCCACCCATACCTTGATTATTATAAGCTTGGAACCAAGGTTCGAAGCTCAATGCAGCATTACCAATAAGTAAAGCAACGGTACCCACAAAAGTGGTTGGAATGAAAATACCCAAGAAAGTGATGGTGAAAATTTGTAAATCTGGGGTATTTTCAGGGAATAAAATATAGTAATCAGAGGCAATAGATCCCCAGGTTGATGTAATCGAATAACATAATGAAAAAAAGGATAACCAATTACCTTTTAATGTAACATGATCTAATCCCATTGTATCAGATAATGTCAAATATTTAAATTTTGGAGAAGCAACAACATATAATAATAAAAATGCTAAGTTTACCGGAATACTAAATAAAGTTTCTACTCTTAAAAGCTGTTTTATACCACCTATGGCAACTGAAAGGGAAATTACTGCAACTATAACAATACCAACAATTAATGATATTTTGCCATTACTGATACTATTCAAAATTTGGCCGCCAACTACTGAATTGACAACCGACCATCCCATCACACCAACAATACTCACAAGACTGACCAATTTGACAAACCACCAACCAAATAAAAATCTTGCTCCCACCATTTGTCTACATCCTGACCTAGGTCCCATCAATGAACAGTAAGCAGCAATAAAACAACCAAGCGTGTGTCCTATCAAACCAGCAGTCAAAGTTTTCTTCAAACCTAATTCAAATACAAATGGTCCCAAATAAAATGAAGACATGGAACTTAAACCTCCACATGCTGATAACCACAAACCTATAACTGAAATTAACTGCTTCGTACGATTAGTGGATCTCTCGTGGGCTTCAATTCTTTCAATACCCCTGGTCTCAACTCCAATAGCATCGAGTTTATCAGAAGCATTTCGAAGATATTTCCAGACCTTCCATTCTTTATTTTGGCAGTTATTTGGTTCTGATCTTGAACCATATTCTTTGGTGGACACATGGTCCACCGCTTGGTCCTTTGCAAAACCCATCTTTAGAATGAATGACAGTAGCAAGCTGCTTTTGTAATACGAAGTTCTCCAGATTGATAAAGATTTTTTTTTTTTCATTGACTCATCTTCAAAAATTTTAGCGAACTGACATTTTTCGTTCTTTAGATTGAGATTCAATATACTTACCATAAAAAAATAGCCTGATCAGTATTTTAAGTGAGCAATTTGAATGCTAGGATCTAGTTCGTATTGTCACCTTAAATTGTAGGTTTGCCGTAAACTAAGGTTTGGGAGAATGCAAAAATATAGGTAAAAAATAAGCCCAACGCGGGGCTCGAACCCGCAACCTTCTGATGATCCCAATTAATAAGAGTCAGATGCTCTACCGATTGAGCTAGCCAGGCTACTTTTTGTTTTTAAGTTTGGACCTAGTCTTCTATGTTAAAGATTAAATAAAAATGTAAAAAAGCTTGCACACAAAAATTTTTCCTCAAATATCCTTATATTCAACTTATTAATAGCAAAAAAAAAAATAATAGCCTTTTAGAGAAGCTACAATAATATTGGCTACAAAAAATTATATGTGAGTAATATTTTCTGAGATATACATAGACAAAATTTTATATAAAAAAAAAATCGAAAAACTTTACCAGAAAAACGGGCCAAAGTCTTCCCTGTTACCACTCGTGGTAGCTCAGATCAATACGGAGATACCTTAGCATAAGAAAGTTGACGTAGTATAATACATTTCTATTTATTTCATTTTTGTCGAATTTTTTTGAAAATATATGCAAATTCTAGGAAAATTACCAAAAAACTTTGAATTAAAGTAAACAAACTACGGAAAAACCAAAAATTCACCAAACTTACAAGAATAAGTCCTGGTCAATATATGATGCAAAGAAAATACGAACAGACGAATTATTTTTATTAAAATGTACACCGGGAGAAATAAAAAATGCAAAAGTTTAGAGTGACTGGAAGTCAATGCAATATAAATAAAAGTTAGAGAATAAATAAATAAGTGACAAGGAGAATAGCAATTTAAGATACTGATTTCTTAGCTTGACGTAGTTTCAGAACCATATCCCAATTTTCTTCTAATTTAGCTTCGTAAATTTTACTTTGAATTTGGGATTCCCAAGCAACGAAAGAATTATAACTGGAGAAAAACTTTGGTCCATATTCATCACGATAGTTCAAATCCAAATCTTTAGTAGTACAGTACCAGAACCCATTTCTCTTCCAGTAACCATGGCCTCTCAATTTATGACATAAGTTCAATTCTTGAGCCGTGGGAACTGCTTTGGCCGAAAGAGTATCAGCTTTTTTTTCAAAATTTTTTTTTTGTATATCTTGGAAGTAAAGAATTGGCACTAGCATCTTTAAAAAATCTCTAGGTATCCATCTTGTTAGAATTTCCATATCAAAACTCAAATGATGATGGTCAGTATCTAAATTTGTGGATTTCTTTGGAAATGAACTCGAAAAAGATGATACTCGTTCAGGACATATCCCATTGACTCGACCATAATTATATTGAAACACCTCGGAATCCTTAGATAAGAAATCCTCCATTCTTTTCTGCAAAGAGTTTTGTATATTACTCAAGCTTGGATCCTGGGTATCAAGCGATTTTAAAATTAAATCTTCTTCACTTTCGATAACTTCGTCAAACATATTTATATTTTTACTTGAATATACTCTATCATTCCAAACGCAAGACAAAAGGGAAAAACTAGTTATATAAATTCTATGAGAACCCCTGAAGTTAAACTTTCTTCTTAATGGCTGATCTTCCATTATATTTAAGTCATCATTAGAAAAAACACTGTCAACCGACTCGGCACCGCATCGAGTAAAGTCCGGCAAAACGGATTCTCTTTTCGGAAACCAATCGCGAGAATGTTTCAGCTGCGAAAAACAAATAGAATAGTAGTATAGTAGTATAGAATAGTAGTATAGAATAGTATAGAATAGTAGTATAGAATAGTAGTATAGTAGTATAGGATAGTAGCATGCTAGTATA